AATATTTTATTTGTTTAAGTTTTCAATGTTTAAAATAGCAAAAAACTGATCAGAAGTTTTGTATTTTTCTTCTTTCTATTGTGTCTTAAAGATTTTTAGTTTTTTATTCTTCTTGTTAAAAAATTACTAAAATATTGTAAAGCAAATCGATCTCTCGTCACATTTTTATCGCAGAACCGTTTAGCCCCGGAGCCCATCTGCGGCAGTTTCCAGTCCGGCCCTGGCATTTGCGGCCATCGCCCCTGGATTTAGAAGACACTTGTGTGTATCTTTGACATTTCGCTCATCGTGTGGGTACCTACATGATCGATTTTCTATGCTAAACAGTCGAGTTTAGTAGTTTGTAAGCAAGAGAGCGCGTTCCGAGGCCGAACATCGAACACCGAACCCCTCCAACATATGTCTTGTGTCGAGCCAATCGGAACACAATCGACTGTATAAATCTCATTTCAGTTTACTTATTTCAGTTTTAAATTTCTTCCCTCGTCCTCGCTGATCCAAACATTCCATGTTTACTTGATTTGGGCTATTTGTTTTACTCGTTTCCGGTACGAGCCCGGAATTTGTCTCATCGGTGCACTATTTATTCTCTCTGATTGTGACCGGATCGAAGCGGCCGCAATTAGACAGTTCTACTCGAGGTGTACACACCGAAAAATCGAAAAAAAACCCAATTAATTTAAGCCGATTTCGTAGTCGTTATTTTGAATTAAACATATTTAGTGATAAATGTCAGAGATTATTTTAAACACAAATAGTTCCGTATTTTAATGGACAGCTTGCACAATATTCAATTTCATGAAGTTTGATTGAAATATTGTTTACAGAATGCAGATCTCTGCAAATATTGTTTTTGTTTCACAACGCACTGAAAAACTCTATTTATACTGTTCCACCCGATTTAAATTTTTTTAGTAGGAATATTTCACATTTACGATCGATTTATAACTCAAATTTATTGTTCACGAGCAAAATAATAAAATATGAAATATTTCATTACAACGATTTAATTAAACGTCTCCGTCTTTAATAACGAAACATGAAGAAAATTGGAGTTTTTCAATTTTGCCAATAAGATTGAAACTTCTTTTTTTTCTCGATTGGTTTACATTCCATTATCAGTTTTGCCCTAAATTGAATTTATTCGTTTTGGTGCAGCTTTTGTGGTAAACTAGTCTCGATAAATTGAAACGAGTATAGGTGCAGATGCGGTGTGTTGTGCTAACGAGATCAAATTAGGTCGAAGGTAATTGCTTCAGACATGGTTAGCATTTCAAGAGGTGTAAACATCTTTTCGATAGTGGGCGTTTACGGACGAAAATTCATGATAATTCGAGCTGAAACAACCTATTTGTGAAATTTTGCGTTGCGTTAATTAGTTTCTATTATTGCTAATTTTAATTCAACCGCTATTGTTAATGCACCTGAATAATCGTCACGTTTTTTATTAAAATAGAAGTTTTTTTCAGCAATTAGTGTGTTCACATTTCGTCGGAATGTTTTTACGAGGTTGTATCATTCCAGAAATGAGTAGTTAAGTGAGTTTATGTTAGAAAATATGTAACAATGGTTGTTATAAGACTATTTGTCATTTTATGGTTTTCTTACAGCCGCAAATAAACGATCCAGCATAAAGCAAGTTAAATAAAAATAAAATATTTCATACACTTTGTAACATTGTATTTTGAGTTAATCCAATTTTTTATCACCAATGTGAAATTTCAATTTAACAGTGAAATAAAAGTTTCATTAATGTAACAAATTAGGTAGTAGGAATGTCGACATGTCAATTTTTATTTGCGTTGCAAATTTGCATTACAAACACGAAAAAATTCGATTGCGAGACACGACATACAAAAATTGCGACAATTAATCTCCTAGTTTTGGAAAATTTCGACGTTATGGCAGAGAGCGATCAATTATTCGTGATTTAGAAGCGGAGATAAGGCCTAATCCGGACCCTACACTGACCGAATTCTTGTATCCTTATATTTTGTCGTATCGATTGAGTCGTAATGCACGCTGGAAAGCGGCCAAGTTAAATTCGAAACTCATTTAACTATGTACATATAACGAACGCTTCAGGAATATGTTATACCGGACTTTTCCTGAAATTCCTCTTTAATTTGTTCCACCGGCATTATTGGATTTGTTTCAGGTTGGTAGCAGCTGCCAATACGTGTTCAAAAATAAAAACTGTTCAATTATTTGCGCCAACTCGCAATTAAAACCAACTTACTCCAGCTTTTTTCATAATTCAGGAAACGGCGATTACGGGAGAAATAATTATTAAGACGTAGGAAATTGTCTCGTATATTAAAAGTTTTATTAACGATCGCAGCTCAGAGTTGGAGCAATCAAGAATTTATAGAGAGATTAACTGGCAAGAAAATGAAAATTTTTGACTTACCTTGTGCAGGAGCATAAATGTTCAAATAAAGACAGTCTTCGCTCTGGTTTTTCAAGTAGGGGAGAAGCCGTTTCAGATACTCCAGCCTCCCTTTAGGCATCTTCTCCAACGCTGCGGTTTCGTTGCTGATATTCGGGAGCTTTTGCGGACACACTGGACCCATTTTATCCGAAACCCGGACTCCATCCCAGGGACTGGGCGTCCTCGTGGGGCTAAACCTGTTCGATTGGACTGGAGGCGTGGCATATGGCACACCCAGGAAGACCTCGATGGGTTTGAGATAGCGATGCATGGGCACCACCAGGCCCTGCAGCCGCCCATATCGAGTCTGCACGATTCTCGGACTTATCTTAGCGTTTTTCATAAATGAGTTGCATTGGCTCGAGAGTATCAAAGTGAAGAAAATTAAAATCCAGACGATTCCCCTGCTTTTAATGCCCATCTTCGTTAAGTTGGGAACATCTCGTCACGAAAAATCGCCGATATTAATTTGAATTTAAATTTGGGTTTACGACAGGAAACTTCGTCCAACTTTTAATGAAAAATCTACACTTTCTGCCGCCGAAAAACACCCAACACGAAAAAACACTAAGCGGCCCGGATTAATTGTTTCTTGAAGATCCGGACTGGCTCGCCATCTGAAACGAAACAATGATTAACTTGCGATTTTTCTCTAAACTCGAGATTGATGTGTTTATGTCCCACAAAATATTCGATTTTCCGGCCACGATCAATCACAAATTTCCATTAAAATTTTTCGTAACCCAAACATTTGTCAATCCAATTTGGGATCAAAACCTGTGGAATAAAAGTGAACATTCATCAAAGAATAACCCCGTTATTGCACGAGTGCAGGGAGGAATTATTAGCCTTGTTTACGGGGCAATAATTGTCGTATCGCTTGACAAAAACTCGCTGAAGAAAAACAAACAGCCGATACGAAATTAAAATGGAAAAAGTCTGAGTATCGGAGTCTCTTTGACAAATTGCTAAATGAGTTTTGATAAAAAAAACTGGCTTCAGACGCGGAGAAGCAATTTATATTTCGTATTTGCTCGTTTTTAGTTTGAAAACTAATTGCAAACACAATTTCGAATTACATATAATATTGCAGTCACATTTATAGTAAGTGTGTTTGGACGTGTCCCTTTTATACATTCAATGTGGTGTCTTTTTGCTTTGACGTCTGCTTTTCAATTTACCATTTACGTTGAGTAAATTACGTGAGTACGAAAACGGACCTTAGCCTTGAACATCTCTGTGAAGTTTCCTTTTGGTTGATTTTCCGACTTCCAGTCATTGTTTGTCGGTTGTGGAAAGGCTTTATATCTCGTTTTCGCAAGTAATGTAATATGTAAAGTACAGTCGGGGTATAAAACACTGTTGATTAACTTCGTTTCAGTTTTATTTCTCGATAATGAAACACAATGTAAAAGCGCACCGCACATGAGCTGAAAATTTCATTTCGTACTTCTAGAACAATGGAATTTGATTATTGGGAATAGTGTCGGAAAGGCCGTGCATTTATCGAATGAATAATTAGCCATTTTTCGTCATTCTAATGGAAATCCTCGCATTTCCATATTTACATTGTGCGCCTATAATATTTTCCGGCGGAAATTTAAATTCCATCCAAGTGCGATGTCGTAACACTAGATGTAAAAAGCCGGCGCTTTCTTTTTGTTCGGTTAGCACTTCTGGTTTTACAAATGGTATAATTTTTAAAAGTACACTTGCCACACACAATGCCGCGACGTAAATCAGAAAGTCATTGTTTTAGTCCGGGGACACTCAAAGCCCGGATTTTTTACCCAAAATCCAATCGACTCCGGCCTTATTTATTCCTTTCTTTTATTTGTTAAGTAAAGCGCATCCCTCTTCGAATTTATATCCATTATTTACGCCCCCAATCAATATCCCCGATCCGTATCTTTACCCAAGGCCCGTACACAGACGACCATACATCGGCGCAATTTCGACCATCTGAGTCCGGATTTAAAACGCAAATCCGGCTGTAAACAACTTTAATTATCTACCAGCGCTCCGGGCACAAATCAACCGTTTCTACTTTACAGCCGGTCGCACTCAAAACACCAATTCCGGTCGATATAAGTGGTTTTCTTAATATCGCCCGTAAAAATGTAATACAGTGTCGCGATAACGCCGGTTTTTTACGTATTTTGCATTATTGCGCGATTTATAGCCGAATTAAGCCCACACAAGGATTATTTCCCATTCATCGGGACTCACTAAATCATCGTTCGGCCTTTCGGAGATTAACCTTAATCCTAGATTTGGAATTTTCAAGCAAAAAATACTACGCTGTGTTTACAAGGATGTTCACCTTTTAAGTCCGGATGTTCGCTCATAAAAGCAAAACAAACAAGCATTAATTGAAGAAAATTAATTCCATGCGAGATTATTTTTCTACGTTTGTTTGTCTCTCTTTCAATGAAAACACTCGAAAAAACTTTGTTTTCTTACGCAAGTTTTACAATTCAGCGTTTACATTAATTTTCCTATCTGATGCAAAAATGGTGGATGCGCCAAGAAAACATATTTAAATCTCTATTTTGCTACCTCCTAGTTTTATAAAAATTTAATTTAAATTTAATTTTGCAACTGACAGGTTTATTTTACATATATTAAGTACAACAAAAATAAAAAATAAAACTACAGAATAAAAATAACTAGAAAACTACATCTAAACCTGTGTAAAATTAAAATTATAAACTTGAAAATAGAAAAAAACTAAAATCTTAAAAGTGCAAAAGCTGAAAATACATCAAAGATTCTAAGTTTAAGTAAAAGTTTTTAATAGTTATTTATACAACTAGTTTTGAAAGTCATACTTATTTTCGCGAATTTGCAGTGGATTAACGAGGGTTCTGCCCGAGTTAATCAAGCAAATGAGTGAAAAAAAGACTTTCAAAACGAGTTGTACACAACATTTTTTTGCATAGTGATAATCCCACAAACCCCAAAGACCAAAAAGATATCAATTTGATAAATCAAATCGTAATGTATCGCGAGCTCTTTGTAAAAAACTCTATAGAAACTATAGAAATATATAACTATAGAAATCGTTTAAAAAAGTATAACTTTCTATACGATTAATCGTGATGAAAATTCAACTTGCATCACTATGCATGTTTTACTTTTAATAGTTTTTAGTTTTCAGATAATCTATTTCTTTATAGTTTAATTATAAAAGTGTTTCGATTTTTTCTTTTATTTTCGGTTTTCAGACTGAGCAGTTTTTGAATTTGTAAAAGTTACTTTATTTTTTGAGATTGTTAATATATTTTAGTAGTACCTAACCAGGTTTTTTGTTCTCAAGTTTATAGATTTTTTTCTCAAATATCTATGTTATAATTTGCACAAAAATCTCTAATTTTTGCGACTACAGTAAAAAATTTGATAATCGAAACTGCCAGCCTTCACTGTTTTCTTTAGATTCTTATTAATTTAGGTCTTAATATTTTTTTCAATTTTTGGATTTTTAGAATTTTCGTAAACATAAAGGTACAGATTTTAAAAATTTTAGATCTCATGCATATTTTACTTTTTAACTCTTATGTTTGCAGTTTTCAAAATTTTAAATTCTTTGATTTTCATAATTTCTTCTCAAATTTATTTATTGCAGATTTTTTTCTGTTTTCTAAGGTTTCATAAGTTATCTATTTCAAGTTTAATGCTGTGCGATTTTTAAAATTCAAATTTTTGGTAACTTTTTTTTATAAAAAAAATTAATATCTCAAAAACTATGAGTCTTAGGTCAACAGGGTTTATACAGGCGTGTTCTCCGGTTAATTTTACATATAGTACTAGTTTT